CTTTTTAATTCTGATAGAATTTGTTTTTAAAGAACTCTGGTGGTGCAGTGGGTAAACTATTCAGCTGCTAACCAGAAGGTCTGTGGTTCAAATCCACAAGCTCCACAAGAGGAAGATGAGACTGTCTACTTTAGTAAAGATTTACACACTTAGAAAAGCTATGGGGCAGTTGTACTCTGTCTTATAGGGTCACCAAGAGTCAGCACTGACTTGGTGGCAGTAGTTTGGTTTGGGTTTTTATTACTGTCTCTTCCCTAGGTAAGTTTTCTGCCTCTTTATTTTGCTCACTTGTTAGAGCCAGTTTATCCAGTTTCTTCATATGATTAATTATTGCCTGCTTTCTCTGTGGTAGCAGAGTAGGTTCCTACTGGGTGACAAAGTCAAAGTCCCTCCACAACTCTTATGGGACCGTGGGGCCCTTCTGGGTTGTAGCTATCAGTTAGTACATCCTCTAGGGCTCAGGGCAGGATATCTCTGTAGCTGCCTTCAGGAACTGCTTCCCAAAAGGAAGGGATAGGCCCTCTGGGCATACATAAATTGGTATCTCAGTAGATGGTGGAGGACAAAAGGGGCTCAGTGCATATACAATAGTCCTTCCAGAACTGTTTGGGTGTGGGATGAGGGATGTTGCAGCTGGGCAGATGGTGGATAAAGGCACTAGAGACCCCTGTTAGTCATTAGGCAGTGGTGCAGATGGTACCTATTGGGATGTGACAGGCTTTGCATCTGAGGTGCTGTGCCAGGCATGCCGGTTACCTGGCATGCATGCAGGATATGTTCTTGCCACACACTGGTTTTGGGTGCTGTGGGTACGCTTCACCACTTGCCAGGTGGTGGGAGTGAGGGTACACAGGTCACTGGTCCCCTGATGGGCTGCTTGGGAGCTCTCACTGTCAGTTGCTAGGGCAGGTAGGTAGGGTGGTTTGCACCACTGGTCACAGGGTGTCTTGCACTGGAGGGGTGCAACTGGTGGGGGGGGGAGTGTGGGTGAGATGGAGGTGCACCTTCAGTTGGCACTTGGTGGCATGACAGAGCACAGTGGAGTGCTAAGCTATGAGGCTATAAGCACTGTTGGTTGCCAGTCCCACAGCAAGGGAGTGCATGGTTGTTGAGGTAGTGGGACATGTGGATGTGCGTTGGGGAGTGGGGGGATGGGGCGGAGTGAGGAAGGGAAGTGTGGGCTTGTACCGTAGTCATTTCTGGTAGTATGAGCTGCAGGGATAGTGAGTTCCTGATTAAAATCACCAGGTGGTTGTGGGAAGGGGGAGCATGCTCCTCTAGTCTGCCAGTGAGGGTTCTTGGGCACTTCCCATTGGCCGCAGCTAGAGATTGGGAGTGCAAGGATAGAGGCTGCCCATAGTCCATTTGGGTGGGGGATTTCCTACTGACATTCTTACATATTTATTTCTCCTGGTGTGTCACCCACCCCAATGGTTAGGGACTACCTCTAGTAAGTAACTCTGTCTCTGGGTTCTGGCTCCCTGTTTGCTCTGTGGACGCTGGAATCCCTGGAGATCTCCCTTTCCTTCCTGTATTTTCCTTCCACAGATGCAGTTCATGTCCTGCTCACCTTGCTCCAATCTGGCTGTGTCTACACAGTCTCTCTGGCTCCTGAGGGGAATTCTGTGAAATTACTTTCCTGCACTCTTCATTCTGGATCACAGCTGGTTTTGTCTCTTGAGGGCCATGTTGTCCTGGGCTGGCAGGCAGGGCAGGGCATCTCCACTCCTCTCTCTCTCTCTCTCTGTTTGCTGTTTTCGATCAGTTTCTTCTTCTAACGCGATGTGCAACCTAAGGCTTTATTGTTCCCTTTGATGCTCAGGGTTTTAAGATGGTCACCTGTATCTGTTTCACTTGATTCCTCTGGTGTTTGGAGTAGAGGGATGGCATGGCATGTCTGCCACATTCGGTTCTCTCTCAAACTTCTCTGCAATGTATATGACTCCTGTCTCTCACTGCTCTTCTAACATCTTTCTCTTACATATCAATGACAGCGTTTTGCCCAATACATCTAGCAATCTGTCCAGTGTCCACCTTTTGGATTCTTTTGAGGTCTCAGGGATCCTGTTCAGATGTTGATATTTCTCAGAATTACCCTTCTCTCTTGTTATCTGTTTCCACTCTGACTTCTTCACTGATGTCTTTTCCCCTGCTTTCTGTCTATAAACTTATGTCTGCACTATTTTTTTTTTGCCTGCTCTTTTACTCTCACTTTACACTTTCTTTTTGAGTGATTTCCTTCTCAGTTTCTACTGACACTGGTAAAAGGATGGTATCCAAATAGACACTTACTCTGTATCTCAATTTCTCCAGACCTCCAAAGGCATTCTCTTAAAATTCTGTTGGAAATGATACTTCACTTAAAATTTAAATTGGAAAAATTCAAAGTCACTATTTTCCCTAGTAAATGTAGATCTATTTTGCAAGTACTTATATCTATCTACCATGCTTGCCAATTATGGAAGTTAGAAATCTTAGAGTCACCTCATTCTCCTTCCTTTTCTCTTGCAGACATAAACATTGGTCTTCAAGTCCTACCAGTTTTGTGTCTACAATATTTCTAGAATTTGTCCCTTTCTTTTCATTCCCACTGCCACTGCCTTATTTATTCCATTACCTCTTGCATGAAGCAGTATGATAAGCTTTATGAAATTCCTTGTATTCATTCTCTCTGACAAAGAACCAACTCACCCATTAACTCTATGAAAACACATGATCCCTCCAAAAGTCATTTGTCTCTTTTTTTTAAATTTAAGTTTTTACAGCAGATTTTTAAATCTGTCTTATGCAATTATTGTATGCTGTCTTGTGTTCTTATCTCTTTTCTCCACTAGATTGTGAGCTTTTGAGGACCAGAATTGTCTCATTCACCTTGGTGTGCTATGTGGTGCTAACACAGTGTGTTGCAAACTAAATGTGCAGAGTATCTTATTGAACTCAACTGAAAAGATATGACAATTAGGTGGCCTAGAGAAAGTTATATATAAAAAAAGAAGTACCCTTTATGGATTCCTTCAGTTTTTTTTTTTTTAAAACATTCTATAAAGGAACATACACGAGCAAAATATTTAGAAAAAGTTCTCCCTAGATACTCTGGAATATATTGGAAGATCAGTGACAGATCTGAGTTCTTACTTCCTCACAAGCTAATGTTACATCAAGACATGATCTGACCCATCTGACCCATATTTGTACAAATATGTGTAATATCCCACTTATCAGAATCCATATTTCAATTACATTTAGATTTTCCCTGTGAAAATTTGGAATTGGTGGAATTTATCAGTCATGAAAAGGAACTGATATTCTACTTTGAAGGGAAAAATGTGTGCCTTAATGAAAAAATATATAAAAGAACATTAGAGCTTGGTCCAAGTGCGTCATTTTGTAGATAAAGAAAATGAAGTACAGAGAGTTTGTAACATGTCCAATGTCACATTGCTTGTTAGGAGTGAAACTGGAATATCAAACCCAGGTCCCAGGGGGAATAGACAGCCTTGGGAATCAGATAGATCTAGATTTAAATCTCAGCTCTGTTATTTACTCGGGCAAGTTTTTACTTGCTCAGATGAATTTAAAACACATTAAACAGCTTCAATATGCCAGGCATTGTGCTAATCTCTGGAAGGAGGGTGATGAAGTCTCTGGTCCTCATTTCCTTGTCTGAAAACAGAGATACAGCTACCTTGCAGAATTTATGTGGAGATTAAATGAGTTAGTGTATGTGGGTGTGTGCTGAGTGACACAGAGTGTGTGCTCAGGAAACAGAAGCTAGTGTTCAACCATGCTGTCTCTCTGCTCATGTAACACACGGGATCATATCTATTCACTCAACTTCTTTTATTTTCACAACCCTTCAAGTTTGTTCACCAGACAGTTATAAGAATCACGTTTATTATTTTCAGTAGTCCCTTGAAAACCTGGAGCCATAATAGCTTCTAAAATATTTCACTTGAAAAGATTCAGGTGAACTTGGTTTCTAAGTCTCAAATATTATTATGAAAATTTCTTTGATCATACTGGTTTATTTCTCAACTCTTCCACAGTTACCTGCTTTAATGGGACATCCTCAAAAATTCCTCTAAAAGACCAGCTGGTCACTGTGTAATGTCTCAGGGCAAGGTATTACATTTTCCCCACTAGAAATTATATCTCAGATGAGGAAAATCTTCAATATCATTTAGACACAAAAGCAGGATCTTACATTCATAGTCATTTCTGAAAATGTATCTTTTTCTTAAGCAATCAATTCTAATTCTGATTGATTGATTGTAAATAGTGGGTAAACTTTATGTGTTGATAGAAAGATAAACAAATAAAGATGTGTACATCATTTTTCAATACTAAAATAAATTTAGTTGTTTTCATAGATTTATTTCATATTACGAGAGCCTAACTAATTGAAAAGAATGTGTAACATCAAAACCCACTCAATTTCAACCTTCTTATTTAAGATTTTATATTGTATAAATTTTGGGACAACTATGAATGGAAACAGATTTTGCAAGTAAAATGGAGTAAAGCCTCCTATATACAGATAATTGGGCAAGAGATGACTCAAGGTGCTTTTCCTCAGATATTCATAACAATTTAGTGATGGGAGGGCCATTTTAGAGATTATCGAGTTCAATTCTATAATTTGTTAGAAGATAACCAGAGGAATGACTTGTCTGAGGTCACAAAGCAGACTAGAACCCAGGCCTTTCTACAAGGGAGCCATATTGCAGGGAAATACACTTTATAGTGAGGTGCTATATTAGGGTCGATTGAGTGGGAAAATGATACCAAGAAAAACACTGCATGCTAGAGGAAATTAAGATCACTTTGGCTTTTGATAGGCCAACTAATCCTGGATGAATTGCCCATTAAGAAAAGTAGGGGCCTAGTTAAATTAAGTTGCATTGAGCCATAAGATGGACATGACAAAAGGTGTGAGGGATGATATAAACAGATTTGTAGGTGTTTGTATTCCCAAGGGTAGCTGTGAAACGTGGACTTACTTTCTGGAGGGACCTTATCTTTGTGCGGGCATCCGGATAAACTGCGATGATGAGGATAAAGCCCAGTTACGTGGCCAGTTCCATCACACCCAGGGGTTGGACACTTGCTCTCTTTCTTTTCTGTTCTTGAGGGATCTAAAAGCGACAACAGTTGTCAAGAGAATGAATGTTTACCGGTTGAAGACAGTGTGGTTATTTAACAATCTGAAGAAACCTTTGCTAAATAAAGAAATAAAGCAGGTGTCAGGGGACAGACTGTCCTTAGATCGTTCTTTGATTTTGGGCACTTTTGTTTTGACCTTATACAATTTAATCATGAATCATAATGTATTTTAGTTTCTACCCTAAAGAAAAAAAAGGATAGTCTTAACCTTAACTCTTGATTAATTATTTTCCCGTGTGTTACATGATAAGCTGTATTGCTCAAAGAAATCAACATAAATAGTGATGAAACAGTGACCTTCTTAGAGAACAAAGCTCTACACCGTTGTAATTCATCAATTTCTCTGTGATATTCAGCCAAAGAGTGTAATGCCATTGCAAAACTCTTTAGCTGAATTTCTTATTGTATGCTTTGATCACATACACTATAAGCTGCAAAATTTTACTGGTTTTGAAATTTACTCTCTTGAAGGTAAGCAACACTGTTGCTTAGCATACCAATTCAGTACTTTTCTGGAAATCAACCGAACTCTCAGAAGGCACTGTAAGCAAATGACCAAAATGGTGGAAATCCCACCTGAGAGAGATGATGGGCAATCAAAAATGTTTCAGAAGCCGCTGGAGCAATCATTTGTTTTGATTTCTTCATCTGTACTTGGAAACCAGAGGAAGGCTTTTATAATGCTGTGCATGCATACACAAAATTAAGAGGTAATGTTTTTTTATAGCCCTGTTGGCTTCTCTGCAATACCAGTCAATGGGAGGATTAGAGCAGACATTTTGTCAAAAATTTATTGTCAGATGCCAGAAATGTAATGATATCACTAATAAAATAATTTTTAGACTTCAAATTTATCATAGTTCATAAATGTGCAGTATTGTCATTCCAAAAAAATTTTCTAAGGTAAAGCTTAGACAAAATAGTAAATACAAGTGTGCAAAACACTGTATTTTGAGCCAGTTTTTGAAAACCAGTTGCTAAGATCATCAATACACAGTCCATACAGTATGGCTATTAAGATTTTGTCTAGGAAATGTTATATTTAAATTTCTGAATGGATTTTTAAAATTGATGTTCCATCAATCATGCCAATCCTAACTTAAAAAAGTATGTTTTATTTTGGTTGAATTCACTTCATGTCAACAACAACAAAAAAGAGCTGGGTTTACATTTTCTGAAATCATGGACATTTTTCTTCAGTTATTCATGTTAACTTGAAACAGAAAAGGGAGTGACAGGCATGTATAAATGCTTGCATGTTTATATACAAAGCTCTCCATCTTCTTTTTTAATTAAAAAAAAAAAAAAAACTACCAATTTATTCTAGTGAATGTTCCTTTGAGATGCTGGAACTTCTATTCCAGTTCTGGTGTTTAGGAAAATATCTTTTATAGATTTGCCATCTACTCTGCTACAATTATTTATAGATACTAGCCCCAGAGAACAAATCTAAAATAATGTTTTATGACTTCAAACTTGAAATACTTTATTGAACCTTCTCTAACACATACAAGCTAAAAGGCTAACATTTTATTATATTTTGAGTAATTTTATATTATTGTATAGTTAATATAAATACAAAGTAATAAGGGCTTAGTAATGGTTTCAAAGGAAAATATTGAATACTTACAATCATAAACTGTTGATAAGAGATTTTTAACTTGATGTAAGTGATTTTAAAGGATTAAAAAAGTAAATTATAACTAATATGATTGAATTAATAATTTTTCATCAGATCATTTATAGTTTCTGAATAAATTATATTACTGGAAAGATTTCAAAGGTATTCCAAAATTAAACCCAGATTTTTATAAAAACAATGTGGCTCAAAACTGTTTCAATTTTTGAAAGACAACAAGGGTATAATCTCCTCTCGATGCATCAAATCCTATTAAGGTGGGTATGCTGTTTACCATCACCTTACCTATTAAAACCCATTGCCATGGAGTCAATTCTGACTCACTGCAACCTTTTAGGATAGAGTAGAACTTCCCTACAGGGTTTTCAAGGCTGTAAATCCTTACAGAAATAGACTGCCACATCTTTCTCCTGCAGAATGGCTAGTAGGTTTGAACTGCTGACATTTTGGTTAACAGCCAAGAGGTTAACCACTGCACCACCAGGGCTCCTAGTATCACCATTATCATCCCTCTCTTTCTTATTTCTTGTAATCCCAATTCATTTCATAAGTGGATATATGAACAAATACAAAACAACCAACCAAGCAAACAGACCAGTAAGTCAACCAAAAACCTTTTGACAATTTATAGAAAAAAACTGTGCTGGATTTAGCTTGCTTTCCTATTATTCCTTTTAGAGTGGATGACTGAATAGATGAAAGATATAGGAATTTCATTATCAATTTCTTTTATTGTAGCACAAAATTTTGGAAATATTACTCATTCATAATTTCAAATCTGCTTGAGAAGATTGTGTGTGAATGAGAATTACTACGAATGTTCTCTCCATCTTTCATAAAGTAACAGAATAGCTAGATTGTGGAAATATGCTGTGTTGTTGTAGGAATTGCCCTTTGGCTGTGTTGGTAAAGTTATTAGCACATCATTTTTTTTTTTTTTAAGGGACATTAATATTTTTGTCCCATTTTAGTGGTCTTATTTGATTTTATGTATTTGGCTATGATTATAATTATAGATATTGTCAAAAGAAACTTGAGAACAATGTGGAGAACGCTGATTCAAAACTGAAATCAACTGTGGTCAAAGGAAGAAGATCTGGGAAACCAGGAGAGTAGAAGAAATCAATATTTTCCAACTCATTTGGAATGTTCAGGTCCCCACATTTTCCTGCATTTCAGGGAAAAAACACATCTCAGTTTTATTGTTCATTCCCACCTCTGCTTCCACTTACTTAGGGGAAGCAAGCGGTTTGAATTTCAGTACTTGCTCCCCCCCCCAAAAAAAGTCAAAATCTGCATTAAGCCGCTGAGTTTAAAGGGCCCACAGAAACCAAAGAAACCATAGCAACAAAGAATATGCAATACCAAATGTGTCCACATGGTTATGTAGTATATCACTGCATTCTTCAAGACCAGAACTCCATATAAAACCCACAATTCAGAATCCTAAAACATACTTCTAAAATACTTTTGCCCAGTTGGGCATGAGAAGAGAACACAATTCTTTCCTAAAATGTTTAATTCCTGTAAGATTCTAAAAAATATAGCTACAAATTTCCAATAGAAAATTTTAGCACATATGATTTAAAAGAGTAACACTATATTTTAAACCTATATGCTATGTTTCATAGTCCTTGAAACTCTCAAACAAAGCCCAGTTACTCTACCAAGCTAAAGATCCTGTGTTTGAAAAACAACCCCCTTCATTAAATACCATATCCCACAATGGTCTAGCCTTCACCTTCATAACTTAAGCAACTGTTGGTTAGTGCTCAAGCACTTGCTAAATCTAGAACCCAATGAGCTTTAGGATCACATATTTTTCCAGTTTGGATTTTGTTTATAGCAATGCCCAACTTGTCACAGAACCTCTGTGCACACATTGAGAGGAGAATACACACCTATGTCACAATAGAAAAAAAAAATTCCCTAATTATTTGAAATTTATACAGCAACTGATTTTCAAACCACATTCCTAAACCTCATTATCAGATAAACAAGGAGGAAACATAGTATAAAATGCAAAACAAAAAATAATATTTTTTTATATTAATATGGAGGGGTTTAAGAAATCACCAATTTCATACTTTCAGTTGCTTCTTACTTCGTTCTAAAAGAATCTTGTAATTGAGATATCCACAATATCCAGGTTCTAGAAGGTGTTAAATTATAGTCTGCCTCATTACAGTGGACACCATCTTTACTGCAATCATTCAGGTTGGAAATATATATACATTCCCTATATGTATATACCTTTTAATATAGATGTATGTGAATATGCACCACATATTTAATAAATGAAAATCTGGTTAAAAAAATATCACATTGGATGTTTTGAATATTAAATTACATTTGAGAAAAAGCACCGTAACTGTTTCCACAATGGAATGGAATCAGTGAGGTGGAATGAATATACTAAAGAAATTGCTATTGATCTTAGCCTAGGCCACACCATGCCTTGCATAGCAAATGGTTTCCATTACCTTACTATCTTAAGATAATTAATGTGCAGTCACTGCCCTTATCTTATGTTATCAGTCATTCTGTTGCTGTTCAATTTCTATCAGAAATTTTTTCTATGGGGGAGGGTTTCATTAATAACTGTCATTTGATGATAATTTTATAAATCATGATGCCACATACCCAATCCAATTTAGAAAATATGTGCTTCATTACTGATGGACTAATTGTCACATAAACTCTTGCCACTCAATGTAGATAGTGATTCTTTTACAACACCACATGCTTATCCTAATATATCTTATCACATGATGTGTTTGTGTTTTAACCCTATCTTCCCCCAAAATGGATTTTCACATTGAAATATTATATTATTCATCTGCTCTTATAACATGACATTGAGCTGCTTTATGTATTTCTCAGAAAAATATTTTATTTACTCTTCAGAAACATGATCACAAAATATACTCCTGGAATCACCTCTAAGAAATAAACTTTAGAGATATAATTTAGTATAATTCATACATTGTAGATTATGATCAACATATTTTACTATAGCTCATGTTTACATGAGTCAACTTACGTTAGGTAGAAATATTACCTTTACCATAGTATGGCTTTTTGACATGGCTGTCACTGGATTTAGGTTTTCTCTCCTCCCCGGAAAGTTGTCTTGGAGATTGCTCCTCATATGATCTCATATTATCCCTCCTTCCAGCTTCCATTGCCATTTTTTCCCTCATGGCCTTGGCTCTTTCTGTTTCCAAAGCAATAGCTTTCTCAAGAAGGGTTAAATTACCCTTGGTCATATCAAAGACTTCTTCAGACCTGTCCGAGTTAACGGAGGTGGTATCGTCATCTCTTTCATGACATCCATCCTCCTTTGCACAGCTAGAAAAAGTCCTAGATCTGGGACTCAACTGTTCTTCAAGCCTCATTAAGTTCATCATGTCAGAGTAGTTCCTATCTGGTGTTCTTCCTGGGAAATCGTCTTCTTGCCTGACATGCTGACGGATGTTCATGTTTTGCTGTTGGTTCCTCTCCTGTGGATTTGTCTCACTGAGCTTCCTGGCCAGATCAAAGCACTGATTCCTCAAACACTCTAAACTGCTCAGACACACCTCCTCATCACTCTCCTCCACCATTTTTTCCATGAGTCCATTGTTCATGGGCTTGCCTAACATTACATAATTCATATTTCTATTATCCTGTTGTGACATACTGTCTGCATAATTTCTGTCATTAATGTTTTCTGAAAGCACAACACCATGTCCTTGGGCTAATAACTTAAGGGAGTCCACTGTTTCTCTCACAACGTCACTGTCTAAGTCTAAACTTAACTCGCTTTTCCGACCCAGGTTTTCATTTTTGTCACTATCATCTTCCAGACTATTGGAGGTATTGCTGTTCATTTCTGACTCAGTCCTGGCCCGGTATGCTGCATCCTCAGCAATTTTGCCAAGATTTAACAATGACTTGGCCACAAGTTCATCATAATTATCATACTCATCATTATTGTTATCATCCTTTTCTGTGTCTTGCATTATTCGAGTATTGTGACAATTCATTTGATGGTCTTCTGCAAAGAATAAAAAAGACAAAAAAGAAAAGAAAAGAAAAAAATGGCTAGAACTTGAAGTTTATTTGCAACAGCATGGATAGCAAGTTAACTGCAAGTCAAACACTGCTTATCATATATTAGAACCTTAAGTCCCAATTGCAGCTGGGTTTAAAGGGCTGACATAAAGAAAATGGATTGTGCTAGAAAACAGGAGTCCATTTAAAATATTTGCTATGAACTCTGGATTTCCTTACTTAATTGTAGAATAAACCAGTAATTATGGTAAATATAATTTTAAAAGTTTGGTTTTCATTATTTCTAAATTAAAAAAAAATCTTATTTCCTTCATTGGTTTTATTTATTTACAACACAACTAGATGCATAGTAATTACGTTCATCATATTACTAGGCTTCCTAAGAGTTCATGAATTTTACTTGTTGCCAACTCTTAAATAGCTGCTCACAGCAATAAGTTTTTAATTGGTTATTTTCACAGTGATACTTGGGCAACACAGAGGAAAGCTTCAGGTTCCTGAGAAATCACAGAGATGCCATACACTTTGGGAGTTCAGTGTCTTAAACACATGTTTGGGCTGAATTTATTTTGGGACTACCATGCTGAACATTGAAGCAGAAGTAAAAGATTAGTATGTAAATCAGATTTACTATGATTTCAATATCTATATCTCAGCAGGTTTGAGAAAACAGGAGGTGAAAAAGTGCACAGTGACCAAATTCCTATTTAAAACAGGATTGAGATGAGTTTGGTAGAGCTGTAGCACATATGTTATAGTATTAATTTGACATACAGTATTATATTCATGCATCTCACTTCCTCAGAAAAAATATTGGCAAGTTGGTAGAAATGTGTGAAAAAGTGTCATGCCTGATCTCTACAAAGTATTTAGAAATACAAAGCACAAAAAACTCAAATTTTTCATCCACAATGTTTTTTGTTTCAAAGTCAAAAAATATTTGGCATGTTTACCTTTTCTTTCTTTCTTTCTTTTTAACCATACCACATAATTATTAGCACATATATGGCAAGGTATCAAAAACTAAACCAAACCCACTGCCATCAGGTTGATTCCAACTCATAGAAACCTAATGGGGCAGTTCACAAACTTGTAAATCTTTACAGTAGCAGACTGCCTTATCTTTCTCCTGTAGCATGTCTGGTAGGTTTGAACCCACCAACCTTTTGGTTAGTAGCTGAATGTTTTAAGCACTACGTAAAAGAGATATCCTTATTGAAAAGTATACACACATGGATCTTCAACATATTTCCCTTCCTGAGACTGGATTTGGTTAACTTTATGCCATTTTCACATTTGTTTATTTATTTTTTTAGTGATTAACAAAACCAAGTAGAAAGAACTTTTATAATTGATTAACGCTTTGAGGTAATAAAGTATATTGACTAGTAAAATATTGCAGTTAACTAAGTTTGTAACGTCATTTCTTGTACCTACAGTGGTTCTTTTCTATGGATTTTATGATATCACCACAGAAAAGACTTTTGTCAGTGAAAAATATGTGGATCTTAACATATCAATTACAGAAAATAACATTTTTGCTAGCCCACACATGGAATAAAGAAAAATTTTAATCTGACACATCTTTATAAACATCAGCAAATCAAATTCACCATTTATTAGTCATAGAGCATCATTAATCGTATGAAACAAATACTCTCTCTCTTCTGGGTAATTTCCATAGATTTTCTAAGAAAGAAAACTGATGAATGCAATTAGAAACATTGTGAACACAGTAACCTAGAATGTATACCTTGTCATAGTCCTAGGGTTCAAACTCTTAGGAAATGAAGTCAATCCTGTTCTAATGATTTCTTTGAAAATATAAAAATTACATTTTCTTCTCAATTTATGCACTTTAATTCTCATATTCACGGGCAGTAATTAGAAAATTACTCTTAGGATCACTACCCAAAAACCCACTGCTGTCGAGTTGGACCCAATTCATAGCGACCCCTCCTTAGGTTTCCGAGGCAGTATCACTACGGAAGTAGATCACCAACCTTCCTTCCAAGGAGTGGCTGGTGGGTTTGAACTGCCAGCCTTCTGGTTAGCAGTCAAATGCCTTACGCACTACACCACCAGAGCTAGGCTGTATTATATCTGCCCAATATGGTTACGAATTTTGACAGCCAGCATCATAGCACCTAATAAGAACCAACTAGGAAGCAAGAAAACACATGCAGTATCTTAGAGCATTTTGAAAGTTGAGTCAAAGAAGAAACCATGGTAAGGTAATATTTATTATTTTAATAAATTTTCTCCTAAATTTCTCTCATGAAATTCATCCTGCCACCCCGAAGAATGTGGAAAAGGAGAAGAAAGTCAATGGAAGTGGTAAACAGGAGAAGGGAAAGCCTGTATCATTCTTTCAAATGGTTCTGAAAACATGATAAATCCTGATTGGAATATGACAATTGTCTACATTTTCAAGTGTTTCATGAATCTTATTTTACACTTTTCTATTTGTCACCATCAAAGCAAATCTGTTATGCACAAGATTATTTGTTAATTTTCCACATTCTAAGTCTCAGGATTATCTTCAATTTATTTTTCCTGAATAACAAGTAAATTTATGAGTAACAAGTTATTTCTGAGTTTACCAACAGCCCTTATAGTCTCCTCTATGTAAGCCCTATTCCTTCAGCTGTTACCTATTTAATAACCATAGCTAACTTTTTTGTCACTAGTGCTCAGACGGCTCCTTTGTTACTCTCTCGAGAGGGACCGGGTCTCCGGGAGCAAGGTAAGCATGGGTGGGCTGGTGCTTACTCACTGATCTGCACT